GGGGTTCCCCCAGTCGCCGCTGGAGCGCGGCGAGGGCGCCGCGGTGCGGACAGCCACCGCCCCTCGCCCACACCCCCCTCCTCCTTCCCGCAGATCCGCTGGAAGTACATGATCGTGGACGAGGGCCACAGGATGAAGAACCACCACTGCAAGCTCACCCAGGTCCTCAACACGCACTACGTGGCTCCGCGCCGTTTGCTCCTGACGGGAACCCCCCTGCAGAACAAGCTCCCAGAGCTGTGGGCGCTGCTTAACTTCCTCCTGCCCACCATCTTCAAGAGCTGCAGCACCTTCGAGCAGTGGTTCAACGCGCCCTTCGCCATGACGGGGGAGAAGGTACGGCGGGGGGCAGGTCAGCGCTGCCGCCGGGTGTTCTGGGGGCAGAAATCCCTCCGGAGGTGCCTGTAGCGTGTCGTCGCGCTGGGGTCGGGCTCGAGGGGAAGACTGGGAAGTCCAGAGCGTTAGTGGAGCGCTGGGAGCGAGGGTGGGTGGTCGTCGCGGTGGGACCGGTGGTGGGAGAAGGCAGTTGGGCTCTTGCCGGCGTCGCTCCGGGACGGTGGAGGCGCTGGCCGTCGCCGTCGTTAACGGCTCGGGAGCTGCTTGAAACGGCTCCCGGTGAGTCGTAGCAGCTTGAGGTTTGGCAGAGCAGGTTATGGGGCGGCCAGGGGAAGTCAAGGGAGCCCCGACTTAAAAAACCACCGGCTCAGAAACCCTCAGATCGGGGCGCTCGCGGCACAGAGGCTTCGGGTGTTCCGGTGCGGAGCGAAGCGTCGCCGCGCTCGACCCCTGCCCCGGGGGGGTCTCCGCGGAGGGGAACTTCCCCTGCGGTAACGGTTCCCTTTGGCGCCGCAGGTGGACCTGAACGAAGAAGAAACCATCCTCATCATCCGGCGCTTGCACAAGGTCCTGCGCCCCTTCCTGCTCCGCAGGCTGAAGAAGGAAGTGGAAGCTCAGCTGCCCGAAAAGGTACCGGCCGGGAGGAGCCGTCCCCCCTTCCCCCGCCTCGGGGCGGGTGCGGGGCTTTATTCCTCACTGCAAAGAGGCCGCTGGGTTGGCTCGCCGGGGAGTGGGGCGCTCGGGGGTCCCCCCCAGGCTTTAGGAAGGGGGAGCGGGGTTCTGCCGCGCTGCGATT